GCCGGTGGGGGGGGCCAGGAGAGGGTAGGGTCGGCGGGGGTGTGCTGAACCCTCCCTCCTCTTGCAGGGAGGCAAAGCCTGCAAGAGGCAGAACCGGAGAGTGGGCAAGAAGCAGGCAGCCACGTTGGGGAAGTTCTAGTCAATTTCACTGCCCCAGGCTAGATCCACAGCCGACAGGCTCTCGATCTACCTTTCCTCTCTACTGCCTGGTGGAGGGGGGGCAGAGGAAGGTAGGAGCGCCAAACCCTCCCTCCTGCGGCAGACTGACTCAGTCCCTTCCTGGTTCACTGGGTTCAACTGCTGCCTCTGTTTTTTTGCGCAAGCTCACTCACTTGATCTTTTGATCCTGGACTATCTGGTCTACTGATAAAAGCAGCAGGGACAGGGAGGGGAGATGATCTCTTGTGAGTTTCAGCAGCAGCCTGTCACCTACGGATCTACCCGTTCCCACTGCCCCCTTCCCCCTTAGGCAGTAGAGAGGAAAGGTAGATTGCGAGCCTGTTGCTGGGGCAGTGTAATTGATTAGAACTTCTTGAAATAGCTGCCTGCCTCTCCCTCCCTCTCTGGTTCTGCGGCTTGCAGGCTTTGCCTCCCTGCAACAAGAGGGAGGGTTCAGCACCCCCCTCCCACCTTCTGACCCCCTACCCCAGGCAGTAGAGAGGAAAGGTAGACTGAGAGCCTGTCGGCTGTGGATCCAGCCCAGGGCAGTGTAATTGACTAGAAATTCCTGAAGCAGCTGCCTACCTCTTGCCCCCTCTCCACCACCCTGCAACATGACGGAGAGTTTGGCGCTCCTGCCCCTGCCGCCAACCTCGGTCCCTTCTCCCTAAAGCCACTCTTTTTACTCATGCTTTATTAATGTTTGAGTCTGTATGTGTGTGTTTCTCCTCTCTATATATTTTTAGCTGGTTATGTCCCTCTGAGGTCTCATTTTAAATTCTCATATTTTAAATTTTTATATATATTTGTATTTTTTTATTTGTTCTTGAATATTTTAAATAGAAAGGCGGGGTAAAAATATTTAAATAAATAAATACATACATCTTCCCTCTGTTCCAGCCTCACTTTCCTCAATCCCAGGATACCCCCCCACAGCCTGATCCCCTCACATTACCCCCTCCCCCCCAGAGTGAAGCCCCTGCCCTGTTCCATACTCTCCCTGCATCCACCTTCACCCTGCCTCCTACCTCGCATCCCAGATCTCCTCAGCATACTCACCAGCTGGGCAGCAGCACTGGGACACTCAGCCCACGGAAGCACCGCTGGGGCGAGGAAGGGCAGTGGGGAGGGGAGGGACATGACAGTGACTTCCCTGCTTAGATCAGCCCTTTGCCGAGGGCTCACCCCTCACCTGCAGGCTCTGGCTCCGGGCACAGCAGGGAGCTGGGAAGGGGACCCCTGCGACCGCACACACTTCGCAGGGAACAGTGCGGCACAGCCTGGGCCTGGCGCCCACGTGTGACCAGCCACCCAGCTCCAATCTGCAAAGCAGGCCCAGCCCTGCCCCCTGCCAGAGCAGAAGGGCAGGGCGTGTTAACCCCTTAACTTACAGGAGCTGCACACCCAGGCCAGGCAGGGACAGCCACAGGGCACACATGTGTGTGTCTTCTGTCCCAGCGGGAAGCTGGAGTTGGTGCTCCAACTTGCAGCTGCACAGTTGAGGATCGAGCTGCAGCATGGGCTCCCTGCTGCATGGGGAGGGGAGTAGCAGAACTCCTGCCCCGCGTGCCACAGATAATCAGCACATGCCGTAGGTTGCCAACCCCCAGTAGAGTTATTTCATAGCTGAGTCCTATACACCACGAAATTTGAATGTATATATTATAATTATACAAATTTGAATTATTTCATAAGTATATTTTAATTCATAAAGTAGTTTAAAAGGGTGCAAGTGAAAGCACTTAAGAGTGAAGTTCATTATTTTTATACAGTGTATCTGGATAGATAGATAGTATTCAGTATTTCAAAGGCTGCAGAAGTTAAGTTTTCCCATACTATAAAAATCAGTATTGGAAGGACCAACCCCAAAGGGCGTGTTCATGGGAGAAATCCACGCCAATTTTAGTTGGAGGTTCTGATTACACGAATGGGCCAGTATTTTATTGACTATATTTTGCTATTTTCCTCAAATTAGGAGAAAATAGTGCTTCCAAAACCTAAATAACTAAAAAATATTTTACTCATATGGCATGTGAGGAAGTGAGAGGAGGGCCTGGCAAAGCAGGGGCTAAACAAAGCCTTTTTGCCTAGCTAGCCCCGCCCCACTTTACCTGCAGCCAGTCCCAGGCTTAGAGGGAAGATAAAGGAAGAGAGCTTGGCTCAGTTAGCTGCTGACCAGCAAGGAGACAACCGGCCTCTAACCCCACCCAGCACAGGACAAAGGAGAGGGGGAAACCTGCTAGAAACCCCCACTGAGAGAAAAAATCTGGACACTTGGGGCCATGCCCCAAACTTAAGGCCTGGAGTAACATAGTGGGCTAGAGTTCCCCGGGGCTCCCACGGCAGTGGTTTGCACCCATTTCCCACCAGTTAATCCTAGGGCCTAACCACTAGGCCACTCCCCTGCCAGGGAGACCCGAACACATGGCACAACGATTAAAATTGCTATAAAGCTTGGAGCAGCAGCAATGAAAGCGTTTCCATATATAACATTTTTAATGACCCTGTGATATGGTTTATTTGGTATAAAATACAATATAAAAACAAAACAAAACCAATAGAAAGAAAATATTGTTTGAAACTTTGGACAAATCTGGAAGAAGTATATGTGAAGATGAGGAAATAGTACAGGTGTAGACTAGTATTTTCAAAGCATTCTATGGGATTTGGACTCCAAACTCCTTTAAAAATCCCATACTTAACAGATACTTTGCAAATCCCTACATAGATTTCTACTATAACTAGCAAGTGTTTGAAGTTGCTATCAACTGTGCCTGGATTCAAACCATCAATATAGCTGTGAAAGGCTCAATATTATTTTAGCAAATGCCAAACCCACTATGTATATTGATAAATATTTGTTGATATATATAGTGCCCAGATCTCCAATCACAATAGCTAGAAATCACATTTAAGATTTTCAAAATAGTGTGATACCTGAGAATGTGAATACATTTAGATTAGGTTTTTCCTCATTTCCATGTTTAATTTTTCACTTTTGATATAAAAATAGTGACATTAACTTACAGATATTTTAGATTTTCCAGGTCTTCAAAAGCCCCACTAGGTATTCTTTTAATTTGATTGTTGTTTAAAAGCCTAAAAAAGAAATGAAAACATTATATTTCTTAATTCACAAATTGTTAAAACAATTTCCAATTGAAAGAAATCAGAATGTCAGGCTATATGACTGAAAGTTTATACAAGCCAAGCATCAAAAACTAGATTAAACAAAAATAAACTAACGACACATCAGGAATTGTTACCAGAAGTACAGTAATGAGTTTGTGCCTTCTATTTTAAATCCAAATGTACTTAATATGTCCTTACAAAATCACGTATTTAAATGCTCTGCTAGATTCAGGTGAACATGTTCAGAATCTTTCAGGATCAAGTCCTTAAAGAACCAAGATAGCAATTTAAGAAAAAACACCTAACACGTATATAGTTTGGCTACATGAAAGTACCAAAAAGGGTAAGAACAGGGAAAAATCTCTTCACCGAATGCCACTCTAGACTATGGCCTGGAGAGTAGATGCTGTTCCTTTGAGATGCCTATATTGAGGTATCCCAGCCATAGTTACAACTAACAAACCGTCCCTTGGTACTCCTCAGTCCTTTCCTCTATGACAGCTCATAACATGGTGGAATAGCATACTCAACACAACTTTTCCCTCATCCCCAGTGCAAACAGAATGTTGGCCTCTGAAGAGAAAACTTCAGGTTTGAGAGATTCCTCCTTATTTAGGCTATATACTCCTTGCAGAAGGGACCAGACTTTTCTTAGGTGTTTGTTGTAGTGCCTTGCACATTGTGGGTCTGATGCATGACAGGCAGTCCTAGGTACACTTTCAATAAAAATAATAATAATGATCTAAAAACCACTACCATCAAAAGACTTCTTATCAGGCTACAAATGAATTGCTAAAGAAAACTGTAGTGTTCATTTCCTAACAATACCATGAATGTCAGCAAATAAATTCACCTGCCGCTTGTGCATGAGAAAGTTGACAGTCAAGTAAGCACCATTCATTTAAAAATGAAAATCCCCATAACTCCTTCTGAGGTTTCAGGTGAACAGAAACAGCAAATGTATTCAACACACCTGTTTCAAATTTCATGTTTCAGGGGCAATGCATGAAGACATTAAACTAAATGGATTGCATGTATGTTATTATTTGTGTCATTGCCACTGGTGTTTGTTATTCCTGACACAGTACTCCAAACCTTTAGAGGACTCACCTCTTTCCTCAAGACCTGCGACAGGGAGGGACAATGGGGACAACTACCCTGGGGCCCAACAAGTCAGAGGGGCCCGGGGCTCCCAGCCACTGCCACTGCTACAGTGGCAGCATCAGTGGCCAGAGCCTTGGGCCCTTTAAATTACTGCCGGAGAGCTACATTGCATACTCCAGGTAGCTCTAAGAGCTGGAGGTGGGGCTGGCATGGCACACTCTGGGTGGCACAAAGGGCCAGATGCTCCCAGCCCCACCTTTTCCACTCAAGGCCCTGCCGCTTCAGAGGGCCCCCCCACCTTGCCCAGGGGCCTTTGGAGGCTGTCGTTGTCTCTGCCTTGCCTACAGCATAAATGGCTCAAGTGCATAAATGGAGCATAAATGCTCCCAGATTGCCTAGAATGGAGAATGGAAATAGAAGAAGCTAGATACAAGAAGATAAAAGAACCAATAATTAACCAAAACTCGGTGACTGAGTGTTTGGTTTTACTTTCAGAAGAAAAAGCATCACAATCAGGGAGGTCCCCAAACTTCCCATTTCTACTGAAAGGGAAACCTTAAACACTGTTGGTGGTTGCTACGTCTAAAGGTGTCAAATCCAGGAGAGAAAAGCAATCAGGAGGCTGAGCAGAGATACCAGGTGAAGCTATCAAGAGCCAGCATAATTGCTATAGAGTGGGAGCATCAGATAGATGCCGAGATAAAGAACCCAGGGTTCATACTGCTGAGGTGAGAGGGGACAAGGGAAAGAAAGCTTTGTACTGTAAAATTGGCAGACAGCTCCCTGTCCCACTCCAGCTCCTGGCCCGCAGCCCCACTCCCAGGGAGTGGACTGCCACCCCGCACTATGGGCTGTGATGCAGAGCCAGCAGCACAGGTGGCAGCCGGATCCCCTGAAGCCGGGGGCAGGAGCCTGCGTGTAACTATTAACGCAGTTAATAGAGTGTGGTGCGTGAGCCCAGGCTTATTGCTTACCCATTTAAACAGTTATGCTATTACATCCCTAGTATTCCACACATTTTTAAATATGCAGTGGTGGGAAAACATCTGAACAATTTGGCTATAACTGGCTTATTTATCTGATGTTGCACATCCTTAAGAATTTAAAAAACACAACATAACTGAAAATACATTAATATGTAGTTACATATTTTTAATATCTTTCACAATAAACGTAATAAAATTTAATAAAAGATTAGGGCCGTCAATGTGTTTTCTGAGGCCTCTTGTAACAAAGTGCTAAATGTATTTGAAAATAAAACAAAAAACACATGTATATTCGTTCAATTGCAGCCAAATAGAAATGATTCACCTCAAGCCTAAAGAAGATTAGCTGAATTTGGCAAATAATCTAAATTAAATCATATGACTGAAGGGGGAGAGGGGACAAAGTGTTTTTGAGAGCAAGGGTAATAACTTACAATGTGTTCAGGTTTTTAAGTCGTCTAAATGCTCCAGGCTGGATTTCTTTAATTCTATTAAACCGTAGATCTCTGTGGGGTAAAAAAGAAAAACACATCAACATGAAGAACATTATTATTGGTCACCATTTTGGCATAGCGCATGAGCAAACAGGGGTACACCTCATTTAAAATGAGGGCTGAACAAAAATTAGTATAATCCGATAATGTGGTCTGTGAAGGCCAATATCTGAGCTAGGTTGTTAATCCTTTGAATGGCAGCCATTAATCATTAAGGACCTTTGCTTCCTCAGGAGCTCATATCCTAGTGAGTGGAAAATCAAACTGCTTACCAAACTATTGTCTTTTTGCAATATGACTATACTTTGAGCTGGAAGATATAACTTGCAGCTTCACTTATGATCAAACTAGTATAGGTAAGTCTCCTTGAGCTGGAATGTTAACATTCCAGCTTGAAGTGTAGACATATCTTTTCTTTTGTCTTCAGAAAATGTTTCGGAAAATTGAGCAAAGAATGGGGGAGGGAATATAAGAAGGCCATTTTTCCGAAAAAAACTTCAATTATGTCCACACTGCAATTGTGTTCTTTCAAAAGAAAAATCAAAAGAACAGAGGGGTTTTCCAACATTGGTAAACTTCTTTCTATAAGGAAGAAGCCTTTTTCTGAAAGAGCTCTTTTGGAAAAAGGCGTGTGTGGACGGGGAAGTGGGAGTTCTTTCGCAAGAAGAGAAAAGAGGAAAAAGCACACGTGCCCTGGTGGACATTCCACCCATAGTAATCACAACTTACATGAGAGATAGCGTCCATTCAGTCTGGACACTAACTTTCAAAAAAGCAGATCGCTTTTTCCATGCGCTTTGGTAGTAGGGACACTCTCTTTCAGAAGAAGCTTTTTCGGAAGATCTCATCCCGAAAAGCTTCTTCAGAAAGAAGCCTGCAGTCTAGACACAGTCGAAAAGACAAAAAGAATTGGTATAAGGACAGCCTCAGAGGCTGTCGGTCTGGCCAGCAAGGGAATTGGTTCCAAAAAAGATAAGCTATTCACATCTTTTTTTTCCATAAATAAAGATGAAAATGACTTATCTAATCTAGTTTATGAAAAATGTAAACCTAACTGTTAAATAAGCTTTTTTGTTTTAAATCCATTTTCTCTGGTTTAATACATTTTTTATTCAAATCACAACAGTATGAGTAACAGAATGGTAGTTCTGCAAATTTGACCCCAGGTGTATGAAGTTTCGCACCCAGAAAACTATAACACAATCTGTGACCAAAGCTTTACTTAAAGTAGACTGCTCAGCAGCACACAGAAATATGGAGGAAAAAGAACCCAGTGCTTCAGCATGGCATTCAGTTGGCTTATCCACAAGACCACTACTCTTCCTGAAGTGGATTTTGCAACCAACTACTGAGGGAATCTTACACATAACTTCATTTGCTTCACAACCCAGATTCATTCTATGACTACAATCCCTCTCAGCTCTGGTCTAAACTAGGAAGTTATTTCAAAATAACTCCCTTACGTCAAATTAATAAGCAGAGTGTTCACACTATCAAGCTCATTATTCCGAAATAATGGGCGGGTTATTTTGAAATCTGTACTTCTGCTTTCCTTGGGGAATAACACTAATTTTGAAATAATTTAGAAATAGCGTTAGCATGGACACTCCACTGCTGCTAATCCAAAATAATTGGCCCCTCCAGGCCCCTCACAGCTGTAGTTCTTATGACTCTAGCCACACACTGCTCCCCTTCTCCTGCCAAGATTAAAACTCCAGGCAGCAGGAGAAGGGCTTCTCACACTTTGGAAAACAGTGAGAACCACATGTGGGACAGCAGCCAGTGAGAGAACCATGACAGACCCCAATGTTCCCTCACAGCATCCAACAGCTGTTGGCACTCCTGCTGCTCCCTCAGCTGCCACTGGCCAGGGATGCAGGAGAGCTCCGTCCTGCACTGGTGAGAGATCCTGGACCTCATTGAAGTCTGTGGGAAAGAGACCAATCTCCAGGATCTCTGCACCAGGAAGAAAAAAGCAGAGGTCTATGGCTAGATTGCCACCAGCTTGGCTGACAAAGGCCACAACCAGACCCTGTATCAGGTCCGGATGAAGATTAAGGATCTCCAGCAGGTCTACCTCAAGACCAGAGAGCAGAGCAGATGCTCCAGGGTGGCATCATGCAGCTGCTGCTACTTCGACCAGCTGGATGCCATCCTGCAAGGAGAGCCAGTTACTTTCCCTCCCTCCCACCATCGTTGTGGAGTCCAGCCAGTACACTCTTGGCATCAGTCTCCAGGAAGGCGGGGTGGTGGATGACGCCAACAAGGACAATGAGGTAGAGAAGAAGGCCAGTCAGGAGACTATGCCCACCAGCAAGGACATGCTCCTCACTCTGGAACCAGTCCCTCACTCCCAGGATGTCTCCCAGGCTTCGGAGGAATGAGAGGAAGGCACTTCAGGTGAGTTCTATAACTTTCCCTATATAAATGAGGAGGCAGGATGTGAGAGGCTGTGCACTCCTCTCTCAGCATACTCGGCCTGGGGGCCACACAACAGCTTGTGCACATGGGTGCATATGGAGCATCAGTCCAGAGCACTCAGCTCCATGACACTAACACTGGAAACCCATGGTCCTTCTCACAAGGTTCCTGGAGAGGGGTGCCTTACTTCGGCCTCCGTGATGGGACACCTTCCTACGACAAGCAACCACTAGGGAGTCTGGGGTCATGGAACACACAGCTGTGCCACACAAAGCACAGGGTCATGCCTGCACTCTGACAGCATTCACTCCCTGTCAAGAATGGTGATGAGGGGACCAATCTCATGCATGGGAATCTGCTGGGGAGTAAAAAAGGAGGGGAATCCAGTAGCACTCTCTCCAGCAAGCTGTATCTGCTACTCACATACACCTTCCCCAACACTCCCCCACTCCAGTGGGCAGGCATAGAAGATCTATCCCTGCGGGACACCACTTGTGCAAGTCCCAGCATGTGCAGGACACAGAAGGAAGCCGAGCCACCATGTCCCCTCCTGGCCACAGACTCCTGAATTGGTCAGCACTTTCCCATGCCTGCTTGTTCCCAGACTGTGGGTGTACTGTTGCTCCCCTGGGACGTCTTTGCCCCTGCTGGAAAGTGCCCACTGTCTAGGCAACATGTGGCCTTGTTCGAAGCACATCACCATCATCTGAACTGAGACCTGTGGTGTCAGCTCAGAGATTAGGGATAGGCTTCATACACAGTTTCTCCTGGGATGATTTCCCTTGTAACTTTTCTTCATAGCTGGACCAGCTGCGAGCTTGGTGTGCCCCACCATGTCAGGCAGGGGGCTGCTCCAGCCTACATGGGCCACTGGTTAACCATTGACATTTCTAATTTTAAAATGAGAAGATTAACATTTTTTTCAACACAGTGTGAACTTCTAGTTCAACATCTAGCCACCAAAGGATTCCATTACCCCCAAAAGACAGGGAGAGGAAATAAGATCATGCGGTCAGAGGGAACTCGGTTGAGGAGCAGCTGGAAGCTTCTTATAAGCAGCAGGGCAGAAGCAGCAGTCTGAGAGTTAAGGTGAGAAACAGCCTGTTGTTGGCAAGGAAGCCAATGGTAGCTACAACAGGATGTTATTTAGAAGCTGCATGTAGATATAAGAAAAAAAAAAAGAACCTTGACTAGGGTAGACCATTGTAAGGTTACCAGGGGGTAATTTAGGATTACTTTCTGGAGAAAGTAGCCCTGGCACTAGGCCTGAGAAGCCTCTGCTTAGCGCTCCTGTACTAGACTGTCTGTACAGACTGTAGCAACTGGAAAAACTTAAAAAAGAATTAATAGTCTTGCATCACCTTAGAGACTAACAAATAATGTAGATGGTATCATTAGCTTTCATGGGCACAACCCACTTCTCCAGATGAATGGAGTTTAGGGGGTCCAGTTTTCAAATAAATAACACAGAGAGGGGATGGAGAAGGGGAAGAGAAGGAAAAAGAAAGGGAAAAAGGGAAAAGAAATTGTCAATGAAAGTGTAGCATCTGTTGGTTTTACCTTTTTAGTTGATAACTATAAAAAGTAATTATGACTATACTCCTGGAAAATTCTGTTTCTGGTGTTGCTTGTAAAGAAATCCATTGAGTGTGAATATTCTTGGTAACCCACCTTGGAGCACTTATTGTGTGTGTTTCTCCAAGCATGCAGCACCCTTTCAGACACCTAGGGTGTGTCTAGACTACATGCCTCCTTCGACGGAGGCATGTAGATTAGCCAGATCGGAAAAGGGAAATGAAGCCGCGATTAAAATAATCGCGGCTTCATTTAAATTTAAA